CCGGCGCGCGCCCCTGGACCGTGTCCCTCGGCTGCCCAGCCGGACCCGAAGCAACGGAAACCTAGGCTTAGGAGTGGGGACGGCAAAGTGTCGGAAGATGGCGGGGGCGGAGGGGGCGATGTCTTTGGAAGTAGGGGACTTTATAGCGCGGCGTCTGAACCTGACTGCCCACGTTCGAATCCTGGTCTGGGACACGATCTTTAACCCCCCCTCCTCCACCCCCACCCCCAGGTTCCTCGTGAAATGAAAAGCGCTTCGGAAAGTGTTTAACACGCGTGTCGCCTACCGCCTCTCCTAGTCCAGGGACCAATTCGCGCGCGGACTGCAAGAGGCGCGGGGCGACAGGGCGATGGGCAGGGCCGTGGGGACGAGGGTCTGGGCCAGACTGGTCCAGGCCTCGCTCGGCAGCCTGAACTGGGGAGCGGTTGGCACTGGGCATCGGTCTCCGCAGGGAGGAAGGGCCCTACGAGTCCCTTTTCTTTGGGGCCACAGGTAAACGGGAGCCATCCCTCCGTCATTAGAGTTGTCATCCAACTCCCGATCACCTACGTTTAGAACTGGAGACGCGTGGCAAGTGGAGCGTGTGCAGAAGTCATGGGCAAGCGATGTCTTGCCGGGAGAACTGGATGTTGACGGAGTAAAAATAGGGTTTAGTGTGGTGCCCCAGCCCAGCCAAGTGAGCGAGAGAGTGTCTTTCATCAAACCTCGGTGTAGGTTTGCGTCGGGGTAGTTCTGCCCCAGCCGGCTCTGTCCTAATTTTTTTTAAATCGTTTTATTAGGGGCTCATACAACTCTTATCACAATCCATACATACATCAATTCTTACCCCGCACCCTACTCTGTCCATCTTCTTACTCCCTTGTTCGTGGTTGGGGTGGGGTGCCGCAGACAAACTCGTGAGACTTCCGAAGTGTGGATTCCCGAGAGAGAGAGAGAGAGAGAGAGAGAGAGAGAGAGAGAGAGAGAGAGAGAGAGAGAGAGAACATTACTTACTCCTGCAGAAATTTCCAGAGTCATTCATTCCCTGATCTCGAGCTTACACTCTGATTAGGCCTTTGGAGACGATGGGAGGGCAAGAAGGCCGATCCGGCTAACTGTGTATTTTCATAAAATGCTAACTGGGAAGAAGTTACCCCTAAAGTAACAGAAACAAGGCGTCTTCTTGTTTGTAGATCTTTATACCTAATAAGATAGAGCATTTTTTTTCAACGATCAAATTGGGAGAAGTCTTGCATTTATTTTAAGCTTAACATAGCGCTGTGGGGAGCGGAAGAAAGAAGAGCCGGCTGACCCCAGCATTGTGTGTTATATGCGTATCTGCAGCCCAAGATTGTGTGCGCAAATATAGACACTGTTGTTTTGGGTAGCTGCATTGTTTCAAATAATTTCCTTTCTAACGTGGGGAAAATTAGGATAAAAAATGCCAAGTACCTAGTAATATTGGTGGTTTTTTTCCTCTAATTTTCATTTAATTACTGTATTGTCTGGCCCTGATTTGTTTGTATATTTTAAGAACGATTATTATTGAATGTAAACCTTGTCTTCAGACATGAACATTAATTAAGCTTTTCTTAGTACTTCTTAACTTTGCTGAAAATTTTAAATGGTTTAGTTTTATGCATGTAAGGATATAATTTTAACAATACCTCATCAAGTTTTGTTCTTTTTGCTTCAAAAATTCTTCAATGAGTAAATAATTTCAGTTTATAATAGATCATTAGAGAAGCTGATGCCAGGGGCTTGGGTGGAGAGCGGATGTTTTGAGAATGATGAGGGCAATGAATGTACAAATGTGTTTTACACAATTGATGTATATATGGATTGTGATAAGAGTTGTAAAAAAAAAAAGAATAGTTCATTAGGAGGGAAAACACGGAAATGGAAACGGAAAATAGAAGTCACCTGTAATCTTACCACTCAGAGATGACCACTAACACCCTGTTGGCAATCTGTAGTGGTCCAACAAGGAGCTCTGGTGGTGCAGTGGGTTTCTGCATTGAGCTGGTAACTATGAGGTCAGAGATGCTAGTGGTTTTGAACTGCTGTCCTTGCAGTGAGCAGCCTTAGCCTCTGATAATTTTCTTCATTCTTATATATATTTTTAAGTATTTAAAGTATCTGCCTGGTTGAGAAATGTTAATACTGTATAGTCCCTAATGGTAAACATGTATATTTATACTTGTCAAACTACAAAAGCTCTGGCCTAAAGCAAAGCCAGTCTTTAGGTACTTTCTTTTTTTTTTTTTTTCTTTTTTTTTTTTTCTTTAGGTACTTTCATAGGTACTTTCATAGGATAAAGTGTATACAGTCATTTATATATAAACTAAGAGTGTAACCCTGAAATCATCCTGATTTTACTACTAACAAGGTTTGCAACTAGCATAAATATCTTAAGATTTCTGCTCTGCACATCACAGCTTTTCACTAGTCCATCAAAGTACTTTGCACTTTCCCCGTAACAAAACTCTCATGTTTTTGCCCATGTTCTGCCTTCTTCTCAATCACCCCACCCCTTCTCATATTTGTCTAACAAACTCCTGCTTCCCTTCAAAACTCAGACCAAGTGTTTCCTCCGTTGCGAGACCTGACCTGAGTTTTTACATTGTTGTGCTTCCTACTTATCTCTGTTACAGATAGCATTTACCATAATGTCTCACAATTTTTAACCTGTACATTTATCTGTACATCTGTCTCTTCCTTCTACACCATGAGCTTTTTGAGGCTAGGGGGCCTGGTTCTGTTCACTGTTTTATCCTCAAACACTAAGTAGGCCTTCCACTAAATGTGTTGAGTGAATAAATGAATGGCTCTCTCTGCCTTTAAAATAGAGAATTTAAAGTATAAACATTAAAATTTCAGCTTTAAAAGCCTTATGTAAAATTTTAAATTCTGGGCTGTATTGTTATGTGCAGTTTGAAAGCACCAGCCACTCCATGAGAGAAAGATGCGGCTTGCTATTTCCTTAAGAACTGCGTTCTCAGAAGCCCACCGGGCAAGTTCTACTCTGTCCTGTGAGGTGTGGTGGTGTGTGCAAATTGTAGCCCAACAGGATAAAGATACTTAAATAAAATAATATAATACGTTTATTTCTACCAGTTTGAATAGAATTGTACTTCTGTTTCAGAGATGGTCTTGTTACATTTACCTTAAATAAGCTTTTATCTATTTTTGCTTTATATTAGAAAAAAATGGGTTTATTCCTATCTTTCTGTTATACTATAGGTTTATAGAAATATGTTGTACTTCGATGTGTTTTCCTTCATGTGATAAATGCAAGTTTTATTAAAAAAAAAAAGATAAGTGTACTTAATTCACTTTAAAAACAACCGTTCCCATTCATCCCTCTAATAGAGTACATACAGTAGAGGGATTTTATTTGCTAAGATGAATTTTATTTGACAGTCCAAATTCTTTAATGCTTTTGCCATTTCCTTTGAGCCACACCTGCACCTTGTCCAAGAAAGAGTGTGGTGTTGAGCATCAAGATGACAGGTTTTATAAGCGCTTAGCAAATTAAATTCGAGACTGCCAAGGCGAATCATCTCTCGCCTTGTGATGCTGTCCTCCCTCAAGCCAGAGTCCTTTGGTGTTAATAGATTCTGGGTTGATTGAAGGGAACTATTTTTTTTTTTGAGATGTAATTACTTAAACTAGTTTCACTTGTATGGTGGCGCTAACTGTGTGTAACCTTGTTTTCCTAGCCTCTCTCCGCTGGATGTCGTCTAACAAATTTCCTGGATCGTCTGGGTCAAATATGACATATTATCTGGTTGTAGGTGTCGCAGTCAGTGCTGGTGGATACTATGTAAGTGTTTGAGTACTTTGAGTGTTGAGGAACTCGGCTATTTTACAGTCCATGGTAAAACTCAGAGCCGTGTCACGTCAGACCATGATATAAATGAAATATTCAACATAGCCAATGGTTTAAATGTCAGTAAGCATACTTTTGAAAAATACTTTGAATCATTGGAAGTATTAACTAAAATATTATAGAAATTTAAAAAAGTTATCAAATCAGCATTTCTTAATGCTACTGTGTGACCAGTGAGCACTAGTAAAAGTAATGCTATTATAAATAGCACTGATGGTGGCTGACACTTATTTATTGAGTGCATCTCTTATGCCAAGCTCATGGCTCATTTAATAATTACATTAATTCTTTAAGGTAGGTACTTTTATGAACATTTAAAAGCAAATATTGTTGAAAGTCAACTCACTTTTTGCTGTTTAGAAATGGAGATTTGTTCGGACGTTCTTTTCAAATTCATGAAGTATAGACATCTATGAAATAAAAAAGCACGCTTAGCTTTCCAACTGCTCTTTCACTGCCAGGGTCGTGATAGTTAAATTTGTAAGACAAAAAAACATGTAATTGCCTGATTTTGAAGGTAAAATAATAGAACATTTGTCCACTAAGTAATATAAGCTTGTTGACGCCTTCACTTTTTCATCGTAAGTTTTCTAAGTCAAAATAGAACCTTCACTATGAATCAAATAGGACACATATGTTCTTCAAGAAACTATGAGAATATGTAATGACTACACTTTGGTTTAACCCTTCAAAAGTATACATAAAGGGGCCAAGTCAGTGAAACTGGGGGAAAGCGGCAGGGAGATGAATTGGCACAATAACCCCAGCGCTGGGCTCATGCACATCCAAGGTTACAACAATGGAGCAGGCCAGGCAGCATTTCATTCTGTAGAACATAAGGTCCCCGTGAGCTGGAGCTCACTCAGGGCAATTCGTACCAGCAGTGGTATCACTAGGAGCCCTTTGATGGGACCCTGAAGGATGGTCAAGGTCAATGCCATTTTGGATATGCTTTATTTAGATGTAAACACAGTTACAAGAAATAACACGGAAAAAGAAAAAAAAGAAAGAAAGAACACGGAGAGACCGGGAACACCCTTCACCTCATTTCTCCCACTGGGAACGCTTCCCTAACAGGAAGGAATACAATATTTCAATCCATTAACCTCGTTCAGGTTTCCCCAGTCTTACAGGTACTCGTTTGTAGGTGTGTGTGTATCCATGTAACTTGCTCACCTGTGTCCATTCAGGTCGCCATCACCAAGTCAAGAGAGAGGACAGTCCCATCACCACAAGGATCCTGCATTTTGCCCTTTTCTAATTCCACTCGCTTCCCAACCACTACTCTATTCTCCAGTGTTGTGCTTTTTTTTTTTTTCACTTTAAGAATGTTACATAAATGGAACCAGAAACTATGTAGCCTTTTGAGACTGGATTTGCCTTTTGAGACTGGATTTTCTTTTTCCCCTCCTCCGTCAGTCAAATGTCCCTAAAGATCCATCCAAATTGTTGTGTGTATCAATTCCTTTCCATCGGCTTCACCCAATGCAGGACCTCTGGGCTGGTTGGATCCTGGCTACTGCAAGTAAACCTGGGATAAAAGTGTATGGGCAGGCTTTCTCGTGAACAAAATGTCCATTTCCCTGGGATAAGTGCTGGAGGTGGTTTCTAAATGCCTGTCGGGATATTTTGGTTCTCACATCAGTCGCTGCTTTCCTCGCTGTCATTCCGTGTGTCTGGTGTGTGTTTTCAGTTCTCCTTGACCCTGGTCGAACGGTTGCTTCTTCCTTTTCCTGACCATTCTACTCCACGGCAAAGGCTTCTCCAGGGAAGTAAACAAGCAGGTGGCGGGTGTGTGGTCTCTCTTTCGTTGTGTTGTGGTGATGGTTTAGACTTCTAAGAATGAGCACATAGAGAACTGGATATACTTGTTTAAAAAAATAATTTACAAGCATTTTATTTGGTAACAATAGTTGTAATTCCATCGAAGTAAAATAGTGTAATATGTTCATTCTCTCACTTGAACTGTGTATACTTTGAACTTGCCATGATGAATCTCAGAGCTCAAAGGACATCTTTACTTTCAGGCCTACAAAAGAGTCAGAGCAGAGCAATCCAAGCACACTGGTCATGTGACACAGTTGGAAGGCAAAGGCAAAGCAGAGTTACACCCACTTCAAGGTAAAGTCAGTTTCTTATTGTCTTTCCCCACCAGCTTCGTCTAGCAAGGAAAAAGCTTTGCTTTGGGCTTCTTGATCAACTTAATGGCTCTGGGAAGTTCATTCAGGAATGAAAAATGCAACCAGAATCTAATGAATATCGCTATGCTTTTTGGATGAGGGCATTCGATGGCTGAAACAGGTTTCCGTTTATAGTATTGACCATGGCTTTGAGGTCTCTGTGTGATAAATATGACTCTCCTCCTGCTGAGGCTTCCTTTTATGCATAACAGTGTCTGTTTCTTCCAGCAGCCTGATATGTTTGAGTTTGCCTTTCACTTTTTTGCCTTAAAAAAACCACAAACCTAATTTTTGTTTCAATTGTGGCTGAGATCTCCAAGGCTTCGTTCTTTTCAAAGAATGCTTCACTCCTGAATCAGCCAGATGTATCAAGTTCCTCAGTTGATTAGGTTGATAACAAAATGGTGACCAAAAGAGTAGAAAATTTCTGTTTCACTCTACCGTATATTGCTTTCAACTTGCTTGCTGTTTGTCATACTTTTTTCCATCTCAATATAGTTCCCTGATTATTAATTTATCCAGGGGCAGATAAGCTAGTTTTTTTATGGAATACTGTTAACCTGTTAGTCATAACAATAAACAACAGAATATCTTCAATAAAAATTGGCCAGTTATAATTGGCAATAATGAAATATTGCATTTTTATAACACTTTATTTGCTTTAAACTTTCATCCACATTTTTTTAGTTCGTCTTCACAACAGGCCTATGACATAGGTATCACCAACATCCGTCTTTTTGACAGATGGTGGAAGTTAATTTGAGAAAGGATGTGTGGTTCCACAAAGTCACACAGTGAGTGAGTTGGCCGTTCAACCGTGCTCCCTCACGACAAGTTAACTGTGTCTTTACATGTTCTTGGTATTTGAATCAGTAATACATGTTGTTTCAGGGCACAGAAGAGACCCAAATATAGTTTAAGGAGAACATTGATTAAATCTTAAACAGAACAAAGACACATCGTCTGGAGGAAGGAGACCTTTAGCATGAGGCCAAAATGGCATCGGGGGATTTAGAGTCAGGAGGGTAGTAATATTTAAAGGAAAGCATCATAAATTCATGATTGATGGCCAATCAATGTATCACAGCTTTTTGTGGGACTACAGAAGTAAGAAACAAGGCCATGAGTGGGACACATTCACTATTAGATAGAACAGCTTACAAGATTGGTCCAGGGCCTTCAGGCCCAGGCAGTCAGGGCCTGACTGATAAAGGCCTGACTCAGGATGATGCGACCAGTACTGTCCATCAAGAACATAACCAGGCAAGCCCTTAAGAGAGACTGCACCTCCTTGGGCTGGTCAGAGAGGGAGTGGAGGCAATCAGCTTTCTAGTGCTCTCTGTGTGAGGGCAAGGTTGTGCACATCCTTGGTTAATGGTCAGAAAGAATTCAATGAGGCTTAATCCACATGGAGACTCTACAAATGGGTTTTACCTTCTGCAAAAAGGATGCTGAGAATTGAAGCTCAAATACAATGTGAATGATTTCTTTTTAAAGTTCAACAGGTTCAAAAGGGTTCACAGAGAAGCAGGTCCCCCACTTCCCCTTCTCAGAGGCAACCAGTGTTACCAGTATCTTTGAATTCTTGAAAGTCTTGCACAATACAACTATCTGGGTACATGGATAGATGCGTATATTTTGTCCGAACACAACTTGTATCATATGCTGTGCATTGTTCTTTGCCTTCTTTTCACTTAACCATCTATCTTGAGGACCATTACGCATAGCCTATCTTGGTTTGGGTTTTTCTGGAATGACTGTACAGTATCCCATTGTACTATATGCTCTTTAAATTAATACTTGGCTTGCTGGACAACATCCTGTAGGTGAAGAAGAGAACCCTGTGGAAGCAGAGAAGGCAAATTCAGAAGCCCCTGAGGTATCTGTCACGGAAGCAGGGGAAGCCAGTTCAGAAGCCGCTGAAGTATGTGCTGTGGAAGCAGAGGTTATAGGTGCCAAGGAAGCTCCGCATGGTACAGATGCAGTCATAAAAGAGGATCCAGCTTGTCCAGAAAATGGCCCTGTTCTGTTGGGGACAGCAGCAGTCGGTGCTGAAATGGGGCAGGAGGGCACAGATGCCTCTGGGGATGGAACCAGGGAGGTGAAAGGTGAAGTGACCCCAGGGGTCACAAAGGCAGCCCCATATGAGGCTGCTGCCAGTAGTTATGACACCGATATTGCAGAGGAGGAGGGCTCTGGGGACCATGCTGAACTAGAAAGTAATATTTCCGCAGTTGAGTTGGAGCCCTCTGCCGAGGAGGCTGTGTTACTGGAGGAGGCCAGTGCTGGTTCTGAAGGCTAGTCTCATGCTGGGAGACATTCCAACAAAACATACTTTGTGGTGTCTTAGGGCTAGTTCTGTATTACCGAACATTTTTCCCCCCTAGAAAACGTTAATGTGCCTTGAAAGTTTCTGGTGTCTACTGATAGACTTTAGGATTGAGAGATTTGAGATTTTCCATGTTTCCAGACTTTTATGCTGTCTGATATGAGAATATGAAATTGCAGTAATGAGCATAAATAGTTTCACTTTTTAATTACGCTTTTAATTGAATAATCTAAGCAACCTGTATGCATCTAATGTTTTCCTTATATCTTTGCCTTATTTTATTAGCTGTCAATCTGAATTATTGGGTGGTGATTTGAATGAATTTAAATAAAATGGAAAAATCTTGCAGCGCTTCTACTTTATTTACAAAAAATACACAACATAGAAAATGTAGTAATATATTATATATGTATTTATAAAAATATATTGCATATTAATGTACACACATATCAATGACATGAATAAATGAAAAATTTGCAATATCATTGAAGAAAGAACATCTAATTTATGGAGAACTCTGCATATGACAATGTAGATACCCTTTCTATTTATTGTGCCAGGGAAAATTCACTCATTCATATATTTAGCAAATATTAACTGAGCATCTACAACTGGTCAAGCTCTTTTTCAAGTGCTGGGGATAGAAACTAAAATGATAGGAATTCCCATTCTCTCCGGTTTTTATTCTAGATGGGACCAGATAATAAGATAAATAGGAACGTATGTGAGACAATGATAAATCCTAAGGAGAAAAGCGGTGAAGGGAAGAAGAACATAAGGGTCGAGGTGGTCATTTTCGATAGGGCAGGGAGAGCTGCCTCCTGTGAGGCAGCTCCTGGATGAAGGACTGAGGGTGTAGAAGAGCCCTCCTCTAGAGGGAATCTGGATGCGGGTGATTGCAGAGAACTACAGGGTCTAAAGCAGGAGGACAGAAGGGCTGGGAGTGGGGAGGTTCAAGAAACTGCAAGGCTATTGGGAAATAATGATTCATCTTATAAATGTAGAATTATTTTTACAAATTTCATTGTCGAAAATATTTTTAAATGACTAGGTTTTCCATTTAAATGATAGTAACATTAAAATTTTTCTGGACAGTGATACCATGTTATTGTACTGAACTTTCTAAATAAAGGTTGAGAAAAAAATTTTTTTAAAGAAAAATATAGCGAGGTGACCAGCATTGCTGAAGTGACATCAAGCTGAGGGGGATGACGAGGATGACCTCAGAGAAGATGGAGTGGGTATGGGAAGACGGCTGCATCAGCTAGATCCGCGGTTCTTAACCTGTGGGTCACAACCCCTTTCACAGGGGCCACCTAAGGCCATCGGAAAACACATAAATATTTCACAACATATATGATTAATCACTATGCTTTAATTATGTTCAATTTATAACAATGAAAAATACATCCTGCATGTCAGATATTTATATTACGATTCATAACAGCAGCAAAATTACAGTTATGAAGTAGCAACGAAAATCTTTTTATGGTTGGGGGTCACCACAACACGAAGAACTGAATCAAAGGGTCGCAGCATGAGCAAGGTTGAGAACTACTGCTCTAGATCATGTAGGGTCTTGCCGGATTTTAGCTCATACTTGGAGTCAGTTGGGCAATGGTAGTGGACATGCTGATGTTCTGCCTTGATTCCCTTTACAGTTCATGTACCCCCAGCTGCTATGAGTGTTACAACCCTACTCTCATCCCCTCCCCCAGCCCCACCCCAGCAGCCCAGAGTTCCGTACTGACTGCTACTGCTGTTGTGTATAAAAGAGGAGGCGGGTGATAACGTTGGCTGGTTCGATGCCTGTGGTATTTGGAAAGCACACAGACCAAGGCCCGTGGCATTAGGAGGCCTCTGAGTACAGTACTACTGAAGACAAAAACTGACAGGCTCGGGTCTATCAATGAGCTACATAAAACGAAGTGTCCAAGGCCCTCAGGTTCTTATAGCAAGACAGAAGGCAGAGCACAGGCAGGCACAGGACTGAATTGTATGGCTGGTGGAACGTAGGAGAACTGTCTATTGTTAACCTTGGCAACATCCTGTTCCAACGCATGGTCTTTACAGGTGAGGAATGAGACCGTACGATTTGAAATGGAGATATCTGGAGAGTTGAACTTAAGTCTTGATCTCCTAGCTTTTGCTCAACCCCCAGTACCTGCAGAAAAGCCCACTCTCCCTTGTTGGAGAATAAGAACCCCCCTTGTATGAAGACCTGGAAGTGATTTCAAATGAATGCCGGCCTGTCTCAAGATCAGCTCTTCTCCTCCTCACCGAGATCAATTTGCTGCCCAGTTTAGAAGGCCGTGCTTTGAAATGGACCAGGAAGTGTATATACAGCCAACGCCACAGAGGGTGAACAAAACAGAAGCAAAAGGAAAAGAGGGCGGAGAGAGAAGCAGCAGCAGAGAAGGAGAGACAGTGGGGAGGGAGAGAGGAAGGGACCTCCTGAAAGAGCTGTAATCCTGAGGACAGCAACAGGCCGGGGGCAGGGCCCGGAGGTCCAGAAAAGACAATGAGTCCGTGGTGGTGCTAAGAGAGCCAGTGAAATTGTTACACAGACAGCTCCGTCCTGAAGGGGGCAAGGGGAGGTCTGTCTTCAGGCAGCCTGCACGGCTGAGAGGAGGTGTGCTATTTTGCTGCTTTAACAGCCCAGGGCACTGTTCTGTAATGGGGAAGGGGGACTTCCAGACCCTGCCTACATGTTTCCTGATCCTGATCCTGATCCCGAGTGGTAGCATGTAAATCCTTATCGCACGCTTTACTTCAGCTTTATCTGGACCACTTCCACTCCTTGGTAGTTATTATTGTACTTTTGTCTGCAGGTCTGTCCTAAAAAAGTCCTATTTCATTTCCTTTTCAAAGAAATGCTTTAAGATCTCAATGGTCTTCAAATTCATATGAAACTGCAAGGAGTTCTGGCTAATCAAAGCAAACTTGAAAAGAACAAAGAACCTTACACTTCCTGAATTCTAAACATAAAGCTACACTAATCAAACCAGTATGGTACATACTGCCGTGAGGATGGATACAATGATCTATTGATTTTGAGAAGAGTGCCAAGTCCGTTCAATGGAAAACAAATGTTAACAAAAAAACAAGCAACCAATAGTCATTGAGTCAATTCCAATCCATAAGGACCCTCTATGGGGTTTCCAGGTTATAAATCTTTCTCCAGCAGAATGGATGGTGGGTTTGAGCAGTCAACGTTGTGTTAGAAATCCAAACTTACCCAACAACAAAAGGAGAAGGAACGTGGTTTTTATTTATTTATTTATTTATTTATTTATTTATTTATTTATTAAATCATTTTATTAGGGGCTCATACAACTCTTATCACAATCCATATGCACATCAATTGTGTAAAACGCATCTGTACATTCATTGCCTGGAACGTGGTTTCTAAATGGACAAACTGTTTGAATAGACGTCACCAAAGGGGGTGGGGGAAGCTCTCGATGCCCTCACTCGTGTAAAGCCTCCATGGAAAGCTCTGCTCTGGTCTGCAGCTGGTCTCGGTGCAGCAGTTTGGATGCCCATCGAGTGGAAAGTTCACTCAACTTTATCTTCTCAGTCAGAATTACGTACAATGACCCAAGTCAAATTTCCATGGTGTTGACTATTATTTCTCTTTCTAATCTTTAGCCCTCTTCAATTAGACCATGAACCAGGTGAGTTGTGTCTTTTAAAATTGATGTGGGTGATATGTTATTGAAGGCCTCCTCTTCAACCTCATCTCATCCCTTCTTAAAATGAGTTAGCCATTTGTAAACGGGTGACTATTTGATGTATTGTCCCTATAAACTATTCTTAAAGCATCAATGATTCCACCATTCTGCCACTTAAATTTTGAAAAGTTGATGTTTGTTCTTCTTTTATGTTGCTTTGATAGGGGGCGTCTTTTCAAATTGATTCCTACCCTTCTTAATGCCTCTAATGAGATCTTGTTCAGACATGTTTAGCAATTGAATAGGAATTTATTTTGGTGGAAAAAATTTTTTAAAGTCTGTGTTTCTTTTTTCCCCATAATATAAAATTTCCATTAACTTTAGAAGACCCTTCATACTAACAGGAGCCCTGGTGGAGAAGTGGTTATGTGATGGGCTGCCAACTGCAGGGTCTGCAGTTCTAAACCACCAGCGGCTCCTCTAGAGAAAGGCAGGGCTTTGTCTTTCTCTTTGTTTAACTTTCAGAGACAATTTACAATCTCAGAAACCCTCAGGGCCAAGTCTACTCTGTCCTATAGGGTCACTATGAACCTAAATCAACTTGAAGGTAGTGAGTTTGGTGTTTTTCATACTAAAAACCATTACATTGTGCAACTTAAAAGGTAAACAGTGTAGTATATGGATTACATCACAATAAAGCTATAAAAGAAATTAAGTTCTAAAAGAAATTAGATAGCTAGCTATTTTGACTAGCATGATACCATGATACTCCACAAGATATCACATATTTAATGTATTAAGCCACACTACTTTCAATCCTGCTGAGAGACAGAAAATGTTAATTTAAGGCTTTTTCTTTGGAGCATCTTAAAAGTTCTTATTTGAATTCAGACATATATATGAGAAGATTTTTTAAAGTTCATGGAAAAGTTGAATTAAAAGATAGTGGAATTTTCAATGCACTTTATAAAAGCATCCACGTAAATGCTTTATAACCCTATTAAAAATGAATCATACACAAGCACTATTTTTCCCAGTGTGATGGTTATGGATTAGGTCAACTAGACATTCCTCGATAAAGGTAGAGGTAGAGTTCAACTTATTAATCGAACCAAAGCCTGATGACACCTCTTTGGGGATGTGGCCTTATGTATGAGGAAGAGACCGAGCAGAATCAAATACACTCTGGCCCTTTGCCTTCTGCTGGAGCTGGATCTTGTCTCTGGTTCCGCCAAGGGGCTACTCACTGCGGATTCATTTCACTGACTTTGGGCTCATTTACTTCTGCATCCACCAGCCTGTGCTCCCTGCAACCCCTGCTTTGTTATCCTGCTTCCTGTTCATCAGCTTCCACAAGTCATGAGAAGCCTGACCGGACTGGACTTACCTATTTCTACCACTGTTTAAGCCATTTCTCTCTATAAATCTCTTCTTGTATTCAAACACATACAAGCATCACTGGTCTTGCTTCTCTAGCAACCTAACACACCCACAAACACATTATAGTGATTTGATCTGACATAAAGCTAAGGCATATTGCCCTACTGCAAAGTAAAAGAGAGAGAGAAGAAAACACACATGTAGTTTTTGCTGATTTGCCGAAACCAAGGTCAGAGTTACAGGCCATCAAAATCACTTGTTTATTTTTTGTATTGTGCAAAACTGTGCACTG